GAAATGCAACTGGTAATGTGGCTAACATAAAAAATTTTGTTATCCATATCGTTTGACTCCCCACTTTCAGACCGTGTCGAGAACAGATAGCCTGCGGAATAATTTCACCAAATATTACAATGGCTAACGTAGCTAATCCAACAGCTAATGCTCCACTAATTAGAGAATCCAAGAGTATTGTTGTTGTTGAATTCACCAGCACATTACCCAGTAATATCGTGCACAATAAAAAATTACCACGTTTTCTCACCGGTAATATACGTTTAGCATATTTTTGATCATTCGGTGAACCAGCATCTTGGATAACCATTAGATCATGTGGTGTAAGAGACATCAAGCCAAGATTAAGTCCTGAAAATAAGCCAGAAAACGTTAATAATATAACAAGAAAACAAATTGTTATCCACACAGGTAATGTACGTTGTGTTACAATAATTTTTAATGATGGACGAGCACCTTAAAGAGAAGAAAAATAATATTGTTAAAGTAGTTTTCACTCAAGTAGATATTTTATTCAGAGATAAAATAGATCCAATTGTTTTTTCAGTCAAAAAATGGACAATCGTAGTTTGTGGTGCAATACTCTTTTGAGAAATTTCAAGGATTTGCATATTTATTATTGTAAACAACAAAATGTTTAAACTCTGCAAGACGGAGAAACGATGAAATTTTCAATAAATTTCATATCAGTGCCAAGTGTGAATTAGTTATATTGTGAAATGTCTTACATATCAAAACTTTTCTTAGCAATGTTGATGAGCAACGTATTTTTCTCCTTACCTTGATGATAAATATCTTTTGATTTTAATCCTTTTAAACATATGTACAGTGTTGAACTATAATAGGGTAAATTCAATGTTATATGTGCTCGTTCAATTATTTGTTGCTGATTTTTTAATGATAAATCAGGTATTATCGTTAACAAATACTGTCGATCCTTCCGATCATATTCACACGAGTCATAATGAGTGGTAAACGAAACTATTGACCCATTCAGACGATAACCATAGACAATAAATTCTGTCGGTTTATCTCGTTGTATTTGCCATTCTTCTTGACCACCACTGTTGTATAAATAATCACCTTTATTTTTTGGTAACATTAATAAAAGTACGGTATCTGTTTCATCAGATGGAACATTTTTTTCATTTGCATTATGAAAAGAAAATCTTTCAGATGGTGATACTTGGGGGATAGCACGAGGAATATCCTAAAGAAAAAACGAAAAACAGATTATATTTGAAAAACTCTCATCCTTCAACCTATTTTACTCATAAAAGTAGAATTGTTATACATGAGTGCGTCTAGAATCTCAAAATTCATAAAATTCTCATATGTATGCTATCCATTAATCTTTTCAGTTTTAATTCCTTTTCCTGTGGCAATAGGTGAAATGTTTATCTTACCTTATCATTTCGATTTGTATGCACCGATGCCGAATATACAAAGTATGGACATAAAATACAATGTACAATCCATATCAATGACAAAATTATCCACATAGTGTCTAGTATCGAATTGGAAATTAAAAAAACAAATAAACAAAGAAATAAAAATACTGTTTTCTATATAAGAAATACTGTCCACAAAAAAAGATATACAAGTATTATGCAAAATAAATAATACTAGTAAAAAGTGGTTAACAAAATAGAAAATTTCCTAAAAATACGAACATCTGCTAAATAAATTGCAAAACTAACTAAAAATATCACTTTAAAACAAAAATAAAGTTAGTGTAAGATAATGACTAAGCAAAAAAAAAACTGAAAATGACAAAATACTAAATTATATTTATACTACTACTAGTCAATGAATGGCTTTTATTTGATATAGTATAGAAATTTGTTGAACTTGGAATAATTTTAGATTTTTTATAATTCCAACTTGTTTTTGATGTTCTTATCAATAATATTGTTGACATGTCTAATAGTAATACAGTAGAGTATAATTGATAACAAAAAATTGTTTCGAATTACGATGCTGACTGTTGTGTAGCAACATAAAAATAATCTAAAACAAAAGTTAATGAAATTAATTCATTTATTGTAACAGAAAATACACTTATATTGAAATCCTGAAAATTAAAGTATATGAAATACAAAGTTAGATTTTCTCTCTCGTTTTTTTTTCACATCTCAGTTTGAAAATTAAGAAACAATCCCATTATATTGAGAAATGATCCGTTTATCATTAAAATAAGTGTCTAGACAATTTTCATATCGAATTACGTATCAATCAATCTATCCACAAGAATTAAAAATTCTGTGAATAATAAACACGTGTCATTGTTCTTTTATCGTGCTATTCTCATGCATTCCATTTACACGTGAAACTTGAATATGTATGTGCATTTGGCATTAACTAAAAGAAAACATTTTCTCTTTCACACGACATTGTCTTCAAATGAGAAGGAAAAACACCAGGTGGAACATGAAAAAAACCACGAAAGTACAATTAGTTTGAAAAATAAACGCGTAAATTGTGAAATAATATTCCTATGACTGTGAGTTAATTAATTATTATTTAGAGAATCGACGAAATAGATGGGGAGGGGGGGGGGGGGGGTATGAAAAAATTTTATTTTAGTAAAATTTATTACCGTACAACCAAATTATCGTTTACAGCACTGCTGCTTTATCCTACGAAAACAAAAGAGTTTCAAAACCTTCAAACGTCAAAAGACAAAAAGTTCTACTTGGCCCTCCAACTACCCAGAATAAATGTCCCTAATTGATTGTAAAGAAATATATACTTTTTTTTTGTGTTTATTACTATTCACGTGTAAACCTTCTTAATAAAAAAAAATTGCCCGTCACTCATATTCAAACTGAAAAAGAAAACAGAAAAGTAAGAAAACAAGGTATCGCCATAAATTTACAAGGTCATGATGCCTATTTATCAGATTTTATTAGCAGTACGTAGATAAGATAACATTCTTGTAGGTAACACAAAAAATTCTTGTGGTTATTTGGTTTATCAGATTTTTATTAGCTAACATCCAATTAGGTAAAATATCATCTAAGAGAGCCCGAAAAAATGATAGTCCACCAAGACTAAAGACTAAAACTAATTTATTCACAACAAAGAATGAGAATTATCGAAGGTCTTTAGTTCAAAGCGTCTGATTATTTTTTTTCCGTACTAGGATATTAAAATTTTGATGGAAAGCAATGAAAATAATCTTAGAGAAAGTACTCAGCAAAAAAACAAAAAATGTTTCTTTAAAATTAAAAAGCTCTATTTGAATCATTGATGCAATCAAAATTTTTTGAGCGCTGCAATACAAAAGAAATCGTTGGATAAAACATTTTTTCGCGCTGGAAAGTGCTCACAATGACACTGGCGGAAAGTCAAAAATTCAGAAGAGTTGACATCCATCCCTAATTGAAATCATTCTACTTCAGCTTGTAATAACAATGACTGCAGACTACTCAAGCCAGATTATAAAAAGAATGTTTTTTTTTTTCTTGGGTTAATTACTGTAAATTGCTTTGCGACATTTACGCACATACCTTCGTCAATTTATTTTTTCAATTATTCAAAGCTCGACAATACTCCATTATTCTATTTTTCTTTGATAAATAAATAACTTACATATTTTTTTGTTCGAAAATTTGATTGAGCTACTATAATGACAAATCTAGATCATTTTTATTTCTCCGTTCTCTGACATGTTTCAAAAATGAAAATTTTCTGCCGTTTTCTAAGGCTTTTTTTGTTATTGTTAAATATATTTATTACTCGAGGCGATTTTTTAAGTGGAAAGAAAAATGGGACGAGAGGATGAATACTTACCTATCTATATATATATATATATTTATATATATTCTTATATTTGTCTGCACAATAATAATAATCAGTAGACGAACGCAAAAAGAAAATGGCATATAAAATATATCGAGAATATATATTTAGAAAGTCAATTTTTAACAAATTATAGTATATTTTAAAAGTTTTTGATTTTGTCTTTCTCTTACTTCTCTTCATATAAAAATTAAATTGAATTTTATAAGAGAGAAAAATAAAATAGCATTGACGTCTCTCCCCTATGTTAAATTCGTTTTTTTGAGAACGTTGACCGTATCAGAGTATGATAACGATAAAGTTTTAAAGACTCGACATCTATGCCATGGTCTAAGAGTTGTCGCTGAAATAAGATCAAATGGAATAGTTTGTATGTCGCAAACTTCACCACCAGATAACATGCTAAAGCTCGAATCAATTTTAAATTATAGCCAATACGTATCGATAGAAGCCAATAGAGTCTGATTTTTGATATATTGAGTTGCAAAGTTGCGAGGAAGTTGCAAAACATTAATTTTAAAAATACTTGATTCTGTTTCAAGAGTATATATAAAAAATGACAGAGCAGTTTATATAATCTTGACTTTTTGACTCCTCCATAATTTCATAGTGCAAAATATTAAAAATCGACTCTATTGGTCGCTACCTGAAGGGAGAAAAAACACTTATAAGTGGTTATATATCTATTAGTGACTTTTTTTTCTGATCTATATCTACATGTACTACTATTCATTTCAAAATATCAGACCCGTGAATGTTTTTTGAATAAGGTAGATATAAGAAGATTTCCTGGGACTTCTTTATTTCTCAGAAATGTCTGATAGGATCAAATGGATTGATAGTCCAGAGTGACCCCTTCGAAACGGAAGTCACGCGAGATCTTGATTTTCAGTGGATTGGGTATGATATCGAATTTCTTTGGAGTCCTAGAACTGGCATCCTACGACTATCGATAATCTCGGAAACGGATGGGTTATAGGTAACCAATCTTACTGAGTCTTGGGGCAATATTTGTTTTCAAAAAATGATTTTATAACCTATCGAAAAACCACATTTTTCGAAAATTAGGGTTTTCTGGCTGTTTTCATCTAATATTAAAGCATTCACTCATTCAAAATACATAAGAACGGCTTTAAAATTTCAGAATATACAGTATTTAGATTATTTTATATTCTATTTATAAGAAATCTTCAAAAAGAAATTTAAAGAAGCCATGTTTTCTTGGAAGGGTTTCTGTAAAGCTTCTGAACAAAAACATAGTTTTTAAATTTTTTTAAATCTTATGATCACGCCTAGCCGACAAAATTAACTATATCTTGAGGTTTTGAAGTTGTTCTGATGTATTTTGAGTGAATAGTGAATGTTTGAATATTAGATAAAAACAGCCAGAAAACTCTTATTATTGTGTAAAATTTTTTATAAGAAAATTCTCCTGAAACAGAATCAAGCATTTTTAAAATTAATGTTTTTCAATTCCCTCATAACTTTGCAACACAATATATCAAAAATCGGGCTCTATTGGCCTCTATTCACGTGTATTGGCTATAATTTAAAATCGATTCGAGCGCTTTAGCATGTTATCTGGCCATGAAGCTTGGGAAACACCGTCTGTCCTAGAGAAGAAAAAACCAATTGCGAGAAAATCGTAAAATACATTTTTCATTCGCAAAGCGAAAGAATCCTCAGGTGTATAAAGTAATTCATATATTGTAAGTGGTTTATGACCGTACGAGATCCGATGAGTATATGGTAGCACATGCGCACACCTATATGGATAGACCTTTGGTTTGCTAAAAGAACACTTTCGAGCTATTTTTTTCATTAGGTGAACAAGGATCTTTCTTAAAAAATCCTCAAATCGCATTATTGAAGACACAATTTTGCTCATTCGAAAAAGGACACTTTTACTGTCAAACTAGGTACGCTTCACAAACCGTCATTTCTGACATGAGGAGAGGAAGTTTAAATAGAGGTACGTATCAATGAACTCACACAATCAAATTTTGACATTTCTTTCAAGGGTGCGCATGTAAAATTGATCTCGCCCAAAGAAAGTTACTAAGGAGAAAAGCTAAAGCATCTTTTGAAGAAGTCAAAATTACAAAGCATCCAATCATAAGACTCATATTCTGAAATCTGGCTTTTAAACCAGTTATTTTTTCTAAAACTCAAGCAGTCAAAAAAAATTTTCATCTTTACAAATTTTCTCTCAAAAATTCAATATTCGTTTGGTTTTTAATAGCCAAAGTATTGATAATAAATAAATACACGACAAACTCATAACAATAAATCAAACAAAAAAAGAAAATAAATGCGCGTCAGTCAGAACCTGTTTTTTTCTTCTCGGGTAATTTTATCGAACAAAATAACCTTTAAACAACCGTTCGATGTAAGAAACAGACAGAAAAATTATAATTCAGTCCTACAGTTTGTTTTTTTGTCTCCCCCCTTTGACAAGTCGAGTATCTGATTGCAGGACCGATTAAAGTGAATCGTGCGAATATGTGATGAATAAAGATTTCATCACATATAAATTTTTATAAAAAAACAACACATACATTTTTTTTCTCTTTTTCTTATTACGTAAATCGTTACTTCGAAAAATCATACTTGAAGAAATGATGTAGAATAAATAAAATAGATATTAAGCAAAAAAATATGAATTTGTCAAGTATTGACAAAAACAACAATCAAAACTACAAGAACTTTTAGGCTGAATTCAATTAATAATTACAGGCTTTTTCGTTGCTAAACACGAAAAGAAAGCATGCATGACATCTTATCTGATCAAAGAAAAGACTAAATTAATTAAAGCCGTTTACTCATCTTAATAAGACAAAATCAGCACCTATAATCTGGTTCTTTGTCAAACATTGCATGTCTTACTTGTTTCTTTTTCTTTTAATAGTAAAAAAAGATCGAAATAACATATACGCCACAAGGAGGAGAAAAACTTCATTGGAACTGTCAACAAAATATTAAAACGAAAGAAAACAAAGATGTATATAAAACTTTTTAAAATAATATAATATTATATAACTCATAAGAACTTTTACATAACAAAATATGAACTCTGACTACATTAGTTAAACCAGATAGACTGTTACATCGCTGTAAAATCACTTTTTAAGACGTGACCTGATCTCAAATGAATAAATAATAACTGTGGTTAGAATGACATTAATACTGCTTTGAACTAGAGAATGTAATACTTCTCGGTCCTTTTTTTTTTGCATAAAAATCACTTTTTAAGACGTGACCTGATCTCAAATGAATAAATAATAACTGTGGTTAGAATGACATTAATACTGCTTTGAACTAGAGAATGTAATACTTCTCGGTCCTTTCAAGACGGTAAATTCATATCAAAAGTCACCTTACTGAGCCTCGATCTGTACATTTCGTTCACGGTTAAGATCTAACAGTTACCCAGCCACTCTAAAAGCTAGTCTGTATTAGTATTAGCAGAAGAATAAGCGGATACTTTTGGCAATACATCAATCAGATATTTATCACACAGATGAAGATCTGAAGAAAGGCTGCAACTACATTTTACATTTGTGGGTAAAGTATTTTTGATTCACGATTTTCTAATTAAATGTTGAAAAATGAGGTGTTCTCTCTGAGTTGTATTGTCAGTAGTAGCATTCTTTTTTATTTTGCTTAAAAATAAGATAGCGCAACCAACGTAAATTTCAGAGTATGCAGTACCCTACAAAAAGATATTTTATCGGCACTGGTTGTGCACGGATGCGCATCGGTGCCGAATAATTTTTTTTCTGGGCACCGATACACATCGATGCCAGAAAGAATGTAAAAATCTCGCACCAGTGCCGAAGTTTTGTTTTCAGTCACCATTTTATTTTGTCAATTTCTGTCTATATTAACACCACAGTCTACTTTTAATATTTCGAATGTCTTTCTGGCTTCATCTTTTCCTTTTCATAAGAGAAGTGTCGAGGCAATGCCGCATGGTTTTGGCATGTCAATGTGACACTGATCAGTGTCGCATTCTAATACAAAATTCAGCATAAACAACTATAATAAAAAACTAATTAAATTGATTAAATAAATTCCAGTGCGGCACTTTTTGGGCAGAAATATATCGACACTGGTGCGCACGGGTGCTAATCGGTACTTGCTGGGCACGGGTGCGCACCGGTGCCAATGACCGCTGACATGCCATGCGTAGGCTTCCCGATCAGGGGAGGAGGGGCTAGTCCCTCCCTAAAAACATTTTTGGACTTTCCGGCAAAATCTTTTACGTTTTTCCACAAGCAACTTTCTGCCAAAAATTTAGAGAATTTTTTTTGTCAGCCACTTTCCGCGAAGAGAATTTTTTAACACCTCCCATCTCTGTAAACAATCGGAAACTTTGGCCATGCGCACCGGTAGTGCAGCACTGGAATTTTTTTTATAGGATACTCATTATGCTCAGTCACTATCTCTCTTATCTGAGTTAAATTTTGTTCACGAACAAATTGTGAAAGTAAATCATCACCATTTACAATTTTTTAAAATTAGCTATTATCGGTCGATATAGGAATATTTATGCTCAAGTTTGGGAGACATATTGCAAATCTTCATCCTTTTAAGAACTTCCGAAAACTAAACTGTTTAGCAATAACTTTGTTTTCTCCTGTCTCATGCTTCATTAATTCTTTTTCTAACTTAATATCTCAGTTAATGTTCTGCATCAATCGATTAGACTTTCTCACTTTTCAGATAATTCAATATATTAGTATTTATCTGAAACACATTAGAGAACAGCTGTAAACTTGCAGAAATATTTTTTCTAGAAACCGGTACTGTTAAACTTGAACTTCTAGAGATTCTGAATTCGAATCGAATCTTAGCAATGATAGATTCATAAAAAATGTGGCAGAGTCATTTTGGAAAGATCATCTTGTTTTACAAGATGATATATACGGCAATTCATGAGAATTCGAAAAGCGGTTTTTAAAAACAAGAAAAATATATTATTTCTATTATATTTCACGTGCCATTCCTTAACGATGAATGTTTATAGGCTCTTCAATCGAAAATAGCGAGAGGAATTGAACACATACATTGTTGTAGAATTTACAGACTAAAACTACATGAAGTAGAATTTTTACAACATCAATTAGTTTAGCAACAAAATGACAGTCACTGCATGATGTTAAGAGATTTTTAAACTTTCTTTTTACCATTTGATTCAGCGGGACGAGTACAACAAATTCCGAAATTTCTCCATTACTTCCAGACATCATCAGTAAATGTGAAAGAACCTTTATGAGTATATCCTGTTGATACTCTCTTAACTTTATTCTAGGATTCAAAAAGTAATACAGTGTTTTCAAGATAAGATATGGTAAACTGTATCTTGTCCTGACTAAGTGTAAACGTCCATTTTTTTCTTACTGTTACGTTAAAAAGAACAGAATCTAGGGATCTCCAAACAGTTTATATATAACCATTGGAATTTTAACTGATTTCTGGTATGATCTCGATGAAAAATCAGGGCTATTAGTACCAACATCTGAAGATCTTCTGGTTTTCAAAAAAACATTTTGGTATTTCTTTAGCAAGTATTCCACTGGAAACGATCGGTGATACTATAGCTTTCCAATATCAAAAAACTGTTCTACTTTTGTAATTCTACAGCTTTTCTTCTTGGTTCGCGACCTCATTGTACGCTTTAAACCACAATTTTCTATCTGTATAACTAATAAATCCTCTTTTTAATTGTTAGTAGATTTTGAGTATCAAGTTTCGAAGACAATGATCGTTGAGTATCAAAGTCTCAGAAAACTTTTAGCTAACCCAAAGTATACATTTTTTTCATCAAACATTTCTTTTTTGTGGAAGTGAAACATTTTTTTGATATAAGAAATATAATAAAATAATATCCAATATATATAAATAATAATATAATAAATAATATAATATATATAAATATCAACTGTAACGTTACCACTCGTTTTCTAATGAAATATGAGCAAAAGAAATATCTGATCTATCAATGAGTTGATATGAGGACGTTCGGTGTACATGGTTATCAACACATGGGGATTTTCAGACAGAATCCATACCAGAAAACTGAGACTTTCATAAAAAAATTTCATGAGATCATGATTTTTCCTAGCAATCTTGACAGATATAAGAGCGTTTGGAGAGACTATTTACACAACCCGACTGAAAAAAGCTTTTTTGAACGTTGGCTATTTCAGAAGGAACATATAGGTTCGAGATAGGTAAATGTTCCGATTTACCTCGCTGAAGCTATTTTGGGAAAAATGTTTTTTAATGGCGCGTGCATGGAGATTTTCACGTAAAACACTATGGAACAGGTGGTGCAGAGAAAAAGGAAAAGGGAAGGAAAAAATACACAGTTTATATAGACAATGCCTTTTTCCGTCCTTTTTTGCATTTTTCCTTCCTTTTCCCCTTTTTTCTACACCACCCACAGAGACATGGTGTTCGGTATCATGATTGTGTACATCATAAGCGAATAAAAATTGTTCATAAAGATGGCAGTGTAGGCAGGATAGCACAAGATGCGAAGCGAAAGGATTTTATCATTTTATAAATAGATAATTCTTTAGGTTGAAACTTTTATTAAAGAAAATCAGAAAGCTGAGCGACATATCACTGAACAGAGATGGCGTTAAGAGTTTTCAAAATTTCGTGTACCAATGCACATATATTTGTTTAACCAGAGATACATCTCTGTGAGACAGTACAATGCAAATTTGCACTCTCAGAAAAATCTCGGAAAATTCGCGCTTTTGAAAATACGGTATGCATGACTTATCTGGTATCCATCTCTTTTTTTTCTCTTCATCCGTTGGATCTTCGTATATATCCTTTTGTCTCGCTGTTCTAACAAAATTGTTTCTGAAGTTGGAGTCAAACTCTCTTCGTCACTTCACGCCACATTGATGTTTCAGTTGTAGCTGAGTTTTGTTCTTGTCACAGTTTCAGACAAAGTGTTTATTGATGATTGTTTTTTGGTTTCTCTTGTGTTGTTTTATGCAGTAGTAGTTATATTATTCACCTATCACATTGAAAACTCATCTTGCAGTTCAACATTCTTATCTTCTCATAATCAACTAAACATTTTTACAATTTAAGGGCAATAAATTTAGAATTGTAGAAATTAATACAGCAGCTACGTTAAACCGCATTTTATTACAATAATAAAATGCGGTTTAAAGTAGCTGCTGTGTTAATTTCTACAATTCAACTAAACATGATCCACTGAAAGTTAGAGATAAGTCCCTGTACGCATAACTTCCAGTTTCTTCCTTTTCATTTTAGATCATGAACTCTCGCAAGCTCAGAACACCTAGTCGTTCTCAGATTCGACCGCCTACTCTTCGTATGAGTACGCCAAAAACTCAAGTATTTTTACCTCGTGCATCGTCGTCTTCTCAATCTGAACAACAATTTCAACAATTACCGTTATTCGATCAAGATGAAAATCGTATTACATTGGGAAAACTTTATTCGAATTTACTGTTGCTTGGCATGGAATATAATCAAGAATATTACCAAAAATATTTGGCATACATCGGCAACTTGAGACAATTTTCCATCGATAATTTATTACAGTCTCAGGAATTAGTTCGTTTAATTACTCATTTTCTCATTGGAATCTATGAATTATCTCTAACTCAAACTCAAGCAGGTATAAAAAGTTACAACAGCATTCATTTCTTTCGTAAGATGAAAAAGTCTCAAGTTAACTTTCTATGTTGTTTCCGAACCAGTTATAGTGCTGATGAGGTTTTGTTGTATTAACCCCAAACACTGTGATTTATCCGCGCATTAGCATATTATTTGTTTAAACAAAGACCGAGGCTACTATCGACATATTATTTCGAAATTAGTAGTTTATTCCACAGATTGACTGAAAAAAAGTATTTTAACCACTTTTTGACCATAGTATCTTTTTTAAGGCATATCTTCTATAATCAGAACACTCGTATGTTCTGCTTTATTTTAGGTGAAAGACCCTACACTAGCGACTATTTACGTGAAATTGCATATTATTTTCCACCAATTGGTGAAAAATTAACAGAATATAATCGTCTTGTCAAAAATAAATTTCAACAAATCTCAACGTCGCACGGGGCTTATCCCTGGCCAAGAATTATTCCCGATCCGTCGTGCGTACATCGATTTTATTTATGCTTATTTTATTTGTCACAATTATGCTTAATTAAACGTTTGTCAAAACATTCACAAATACGTTTTAGAGAAATGAATTATTCAGTAGGAGTAAGTAGACGAACAAGTAGATCTCGTTTGGATGACTATTTCGTGTTTAAATGTACTCGCTAAGTGACTAGAAGAGTTATCCGATTTGAACGATCAAGAAAATTTTTCTGCTATAACCATTGGTTTTTATACTGACAATGACTTTAACCCTTTTTTTAGAGTAATCAATCTATTAATGTTGGAAACAACGAAAAAAATGGTTCAATAACGAGGGATCGTTTACAACGTATTAATCATTTGAATAAATGTGATACATCAAGAAATTATCAAATGTTTTATAAAAAAATAGCAGATGATTATGAAAAACGAAACAAATTTTTTCAATTAAAAGAGGAGTTAGAACAAGAATTAGAAAAATTAATTCATCAATATGAACAAGCAAATTTGTACTCACAACAATTTATTCAACTACAACAAGGTAAACAAGCATACACTATCGAGATAGTCGCTCTGACAAAAGGTAGTGTCGATACACAAATATATTATTAGAGAAAATATTGATACGATTAAATTAAAATGCAATCGTGTTACTTATAAACAAGTTGTGAATGCTATTTATAAGCTACGAGTAAGAATAGAAAGTTTCTTCATATTCATATGATGAAACGAGTATACCGTCTCATATTTAAAAGATAATAAAAACAACGTCACATGCATGAAAAACATATGGCTTTGAGAGTTAACTATTTTCTTCCATACATAAACTATCCTATATATAGCCATTGCACCAGTACAGAACAACTATCAGAAATAATAGTACGTTTCTTCTGAAATTTAACTGACTATCGCAACTTTTGGTACATGATTGAATTATTTTAGAATCTCAAAAGAGATTATTCGACATAAACTGAATTGAATTATCTTCGATTTAATGGAAACTCGAGATAAGTGACTAAGAAAAACGATCTGAAAATCTGCGAATGTATGAAACTATACCGTGACATGTGAGAATGCGGTAGTTTATGTACCACATAAAAAATGTGGTAATCTGCAGAAATGTCATACGTTTAGTATAGTATAAGATTGTTGAAGCTTGAATAGATCAACAGACCATTCGACTAACATCTTACAAGCCATTTTATTTCTATTCACTTAGATGACGAACCAAATCGGTATGAGAATTTATTAGGTCAAATTCGTGAAATGAATACGTATTTATTGAGCGATACATTTCAAAAACTAGATTGGTTTTCGAAAAATTATTCATCAAAATTAAATTCAACAACCATCGAGATTGGCTTGAATCCCACACTATGTAAACAAATTAAAAAGCTATGTGAGCTAAACCAACAGCAAAATGTGAATAAAGATTTGCTATCGCCTACAATAGTGTCACCAGGTAAATGACAAGATGACTATAGATCTCTTTATTTTTATTTATTTTGATGATTTCTTCCAGGTTCATTAATTGAACAAGCATCCAATTCTCCATTGACAAATCCATTATATCCAACGTTCACAGAATCTTCTTCATCGACAACCAGCTCACCATTGATATCAACTTTTGAAATATTTCAAGCTGGCATACTATGTTTACAAGAACGCTTTCATACATATAAACAAAGTGATGAAAACTCAAAGTTATGTGCTCAGATTGTTGAACAAATGAATTTAACTGTGAAACAAACCGAAAATATACTAAATTCACTAACACAACTAGAACAACAAAAACAATATTTATCTTCAGCAGTACCGGTATCAGATGTCAATATAACAAACTATGTTAACGATACTGTGGGCAATGGTGATACTACAGGATATTCACAAATAGTCACGCCAATATCAGTGGGTGAGTGAAGAAATAAAACTGAGTTAATTCAAGAAATTTAGCTCTCTGTCAACTCAAAAGTGTAGGATTAACTCTATAGCGTTGTGCTTAACTTTTATCGATTTGTATAAAAATATTTTTTCAAGACAGTGAAGAAATTTGTTATTTATGTAAAGTTTCTCGTAAATATTTTTTTAGATCATGATTTACATCAATGTGGTCATCAAGGTCGAGTTCAATTATCGGATCAGTTATGTCGACGTCCATTGAATATGGCACGTCATCCATCATCATCATTGTCATTTTTAAACGATTCATCATCGCTGACAACTGTCGAAAATATCACAACAATACAAGGTCCATCTAATATTAAAAAAGAAGAGGAAGAAGTTATATCCTCTAATGATTTATCGTTTCGCCAATTAGAAACACTTTTACTGGGTCCAAATCGAACAAAAGCAATATTAAATGAAGATAGTTTCATTAAATTAGAAAATCAATTGAATAATGAAGAAGAAATTGTTGATAGTAAAATCCATCAACAATTAACAATTAGGTGAGTGTCAATCATAAGATTTGCGAAGTAGTCATTTTTTTTTAATTTTAGTCCGGAATTGTTGCCAAACAATGCACCATCTAATACAACGTTAAGTAGTCTATCTTCTATTGAAAATGATATGAATTTACCACAAACATCGACAACAATCGTTGAAGTACCAGCGCAAGAACAATATGACGATGAAAAAGAAAATATTTCTATGTCTTCAGAAAGTATTGAAGAAATTTCAATTGAAACAAAGTCAACAAAATTCATTTTACCCATTTTAACCTCACCATTACGAGCGTAAGCAGATTAAAAAAAATATCATTTTTTAACGGTAATCAAAACCGATGTCTCACTTTTTGTTCTAGTCAACCAGAATTACCAAAACTATTAACGCAAATTGAAAGTATTGATCCATATTAAATACAATCTTTGATGTATTTGTACTAACAGACTCAAATCTTTTTCTTTTTTGGCCAATTACCTATAATCTTTTTTTTCCTATAATCCTTTTTTTTTCCTATGATCTTTTTTTTCCTATAATCTTTTTTTTAAAAAAAAATTATAGGTATTAAGATAAGATTATAGGTAGACATTAATGCTTTTTCACTTGTACAGATGAGTAATATGAATTCAATTTTTTGTTTGTGGTTTGACAAAGCCAGTATTTTTGTGCATTTGATTTTCTAATGTAGATATGTGTTATCAGAAATAAAATTTGATAGGTATGTTCATAAGTAGATTTTAAAGTTTAAACCAACATCTTGGCTTACAGTTTAGAAATAGCGTAAATGTATTAAGTTATACAATTGTACACACGAACGAGTACAGTAGAGACGCACTCAAGATGTCGAAAAAAATCATAAAAAGAACTCAGATAGAACAATATTATTTTACAAATAAACATATTTTGCACATACAATCTTGTAAAACATTAGAAAACTAAAAAACATAAAACTGAGTGAGTATATTTGATGCTGAATCGGAGGTCACATAGTTGTCAGAGATTTTTCTGGTAAAAAACTGGGTATAAGTGTCTCCTATTCTGTGAGATACAGTGATCTTTTGTAACCAGAAACTGCCGTAGTAGAGCAGATAAGCAATCCATTAAAATCTTGTGCGGAGCACCGGTTTGGAATAGCCAAGTAATCTCAGTTACCTACTTCTAGACTGTCTCAAATATTTTTTTGATAATTAAAGTAAATCCTACAGAGTCTCGAAGTAACAAGTTCAATAAATATATATTAGATTAAAAGTATAGCATAACTGATAAATTAAACTTGTAAATGGTGAAGACAGAATGTTGTCTTTGCTCCAAAATTGATGATAAAACAGTCAACAATGAGGAACAAGTTGCTGAAAGTGTCTGCCGCTTTTTTCTTGTCGAGGACTAGACGTGTTGACGATTATAATTCACCATTGTTCATTTACAAGCAATATGTCGATTTAGTATTAGATTCTGTATTTAGGCACGTTGATATCCGCATCGATTATGATTCTGCGTACATTCGATTGTTGCTTGCAGTACATCACGTATGAAAACTATTTAAAAACATTATTGTCACATTTAGATGACTACAATAAGCTGGCTTGAAGTAGAAATGAGTGTCAACTTCTCCACTAAAACAGGAATAAACAACTGGCTTATGTTCTCTTCGCATCATTCTTAATGTATCAACATTAGGAAAGAAATGAAAGCCGAAATTGAATCAAGATAGAAATAGTAACGTAATCAATCAACATTCGATAAAAATAGAAATCAGACACATGTATCATGCAAATATGTGTGATTTGATTTGAATTTCGACACGTTTCATTCCATTTCTTTGTTTTCTTGCTTCATAGTGTAAAAGTATGCGAACTTAATGAAAATGTTATTCTTTCATGTCTCTTGTACGCACAAGGCTGATAAATATTTTGATTTGACATGTATCTGCAGAACTTCTTAAATAATGATTAAAGTGAATTCATGGTCTATGTGTTCCTTCTGCTCGTCCCGTGCCGTCATAAGAAGACTTTTATTTTCCGTGATGAGACCGCCCGTCACGTATATGTTATCAGAAATAAAACTTGATAAATATGTTCATAAGTAGATTCTAAAGTTTAAACCAATATCTTGGCTTACAGTTTAGAAATAGCGTAAATATATTAAGTTATACAGTTGTATACGTACTGTGAACTGAGAAGCTAACGAATATTGCAAAAGTTTTTCATAAATATCAAACATCCATGTAAGTGCTCTCTAAATGTGAAAGAGCAGCGTTTGAACTACATCAAACAAATTTTTCACCCCACAACATTGAAAAATAAGCACTAAAAAATCTTCTAGAATCATTTTTGTCTAGAACGAGCGATATTCGATTACTGTTCTATTTTAGTCAATATTAGTATTATCTATAGACCTTATGTGGAATCACTAATCATATTTCTAATTGGATCCTATTCCAAGTCAAGCAGCAGGTTGGTTCTTTTAACTAATAGTGATGACACAAGTATCTTACACAAAATTACATAATGAAAGTAGAAGATTTAGTTTCAGATTTCTTCAAACGTCTGTTTATAGATAGAATGTTACATATAACCGATAATATATTTTAATTAAATAGAAAAAAGTAATCTGTCTTTAATTTTAGTAATTCGAAACATATTTTAATCATTAATTAACTTTGTAAATTGTTAACTCTTACATTTATCATGTAAGGTAGAGGACTTTAATTAAATTTATGTCGTTCCTATTAGTTAAAAGAACTAACCTACTGCTTGACCTAAGATAGGATCCAGTTAGAAATATGATTAGAGATTTCACATAAGGTTTGTAGATAATACTAAAATAGAACAGTAATTGAATCTCTCTCGTTCTTGACAAAAGTAATTCTAGAAGATTTTTCTGTGAACATTCTTCAATGTTGCACAGATTACACAACACCGCTAGTTAAAAAAAGAGATAGGAATACTATATAGCCAATAAGGTCTACAGGTAAGTGAATTAGATCATCCAGAAGAATTATGAATAGAAAATTTCTTCTGATATCTATGTGAACAATTCCAGTGGTTCTACTTCTGCACATCTTTCTTCTTCTCTGAACTAGTATTATTCGTTGTTCATTGATTATTATTTTTTAGGTTAATGAATTTTAGGCAAAAACTATAGAAAATCAAATATCTTTATATTGCGCTGTATGCCTAATATCATACATAGATTTGTCTGCGATGAATTATTCTGTTCAACCTATTTTTAATGATCCACTTATATCTATGTATATGCAACTTAACCGTGGCGTGCTACCAACAATTATCGTTTTTGGAACTATTGGTAATTTGCTCAACATATTTATCTTTACAAGTCGAACATTACGGTCATCTTCATGTTCAATGTATATTCTTTCATCATCAATTACCAATATAATTATTCTCTATTTTTTTCTTGTACCGCAAATTCTCTCTGACGGGTACTCTATCGATATGACAAATCAGTATTCTATTCTATGTAAGCTAAAAAACTATTTGGCCTATGTATTCTATAATTTATCATTGTATTTCATTGTTCTGGCAACATTCGACAGATTTTGTTCAAGTTCAACAAGTGCTGAATGTCGACGTCTCAGTACCCTATCGATATCTCGTAGAATCATCCCATCAATGATCGTTTTCTTTTTGCTCTTATATTCACATATGTTAGTATTCTATGATATTGACATATCATCTCGTACATGTCGAAATAATCAAAATTTATCGTATAATCGATTTTTAGCATTTTTTTCATTAGGATTTTTTGCAATATCTCCACCAATTTTGATGACTCTATTTGGGCTGTTGACACTTATGAATATAAGAACTCGTCGACGAAGAGTTGTTCCTATAAATGTTCGACAAACACGACAAACAGATTTTCAATTATTTCGAATGTTACTGTGTCAGGTTACATTTTATATTATATTAGTTTCACCATTTAATGCTATGTATGCTGCATCAACAATTCTTGGACAAACATCATCTTTATTTAATTTTATTTATAAAATTTCACGTTTATTTTATTTTCTTAGTTATAGTACTTCATTTTATATTTATACTCTGAGTGCACGACTATACAGAAAGGAATTCTTAAAAATAGTTAATACGGTATTACGACGTTTATTCAAAATTGAGACTAATCAGCAGCCAAGACAAAAGAATTCAACAACAAATCAAGCAATATTTGCCGTTGTTATTAGCGTACGTCCAAACTAGATCAAATTTCATAAGAAAAAGCTAGTAGAAACTATATAATTGAACTCTAGAATTAGTCGGTATAAGATCAAAATTCTAATCAAATTTAGCATTTTTATTATTCAGTGAATTTAATTATTGTGCAATACATCCTTTTTCATTCTATTTGAGACAAGTTTAGTTTTTTTTCTAAAAAATATTTTGATAGTATAAATAATCAAGTTGTTGGTTTTTCATTCTAATTGTATATCGTCAACTGCGAATCGTTGTTTGAAAGCTAACTTCAGAGGCATAAACTGTACGATAACTATCAACACTTCCTGCTTATATAAAATATACTTCTTTATTAAAAATTTTGATATCGAAGGACGAGGGTCGATAAGAGACAAAATCGGCGTTCTCTCAGATCAAGCTCATATTCATAGGTCTGATGTAGCTTCTGATGTATTTTTTCTCCTGATATAGTTTTTTCTCGATGATTAAAACTAGCACGTTAAAAAAAACATTTTGACCCACCTTGGAAAAATTTTCGCATCCGAACTTTTCTCTTGTTAGATGAACTTTACTTAGAATATTTTCCTCATTTCTTCTCTTTTGCTCAAAGCAAACCTCAACTACTGTATACCATTCAATCGAGATCTTCACGGACTACAAAATGCTATATAAAATATTGAAAACCAATTGGGTCTGGGTGTCCTAACGCTAGAAATACTAGCCTGGACCTCCACAAATCCAAAGGTCAACATCGTTCAGCGTTTATATTATCCAGCCATTTTTTTATCGTTAACCACTCCACTTTATATATCATTCGATAGAGAATTTTAGGGCCTACAAAATGCGATATAAAATGTTTAGAAAAAGTGTAACTAGGTAGTCGAAGTCGGAAATACTCGGTAGCATCTCAGTACACCGGTGGGTCAACATTGTTCAGGTTTATACTATTCATTTACTTTTCTATTAATCACTCCACATCATAGATATATACCAACAGATTTCATTATTTTTAGCTGAAACTGTGATTGAGTTTAATTACAAATTCATACTTGATCTCTTTGGTATTTTCATACATAATACGAGCCTTTTCGTTTTCATCTTTTGGCGATAGTGAATGATTAAATTGCATCAATAATTTTTCAGCAAGCCTTTTCCCGGCACCATATATACGTCCACAATTGAATACCTACACGGCAACCATTTTAAATTACTAATCCGTTAATCCTTAGTAGCCTTTATTTTCTAATCTTGCTTTTGCTTGATCACGACTTATTCCAACTAAATTTGCCACTTTACTATGTAGATCAGTACCATCTTTTTCTTTTCTTGAAGATTCATCCAACCAAATGCTGTTGAATCTAACAGCAAATAACTGATGAACAATTGAACAGGCAATCGTAACAACAATTAACAAATCGTGCATTCCAGCATATTGTACATCGGCTAATATAGATACAATCTATAATTCTTGTGAGTTCACATCAGTACCTGCGAAACAGTAGCCAGATGGTGCTCGAACCATGGCTTTTAGTTCACTACCAATACGATCAGTCTAAAATTATTAATGATTTATTAATTGAAATAGATATTGTATTTAAAAAATGTTGTTCACACATGGTTTACTAGCTGTAAGCCATGTTGCCTCAACTGCACGACGTGTGACTGTTCTTAAACGATCATATCCCACATAAGTAACATATAGTTCGTTCACACTCATAAACCATACCAGCAACCAGAGCTGCAGAATCTGTCTGTTTGCTCCATCGATCGTCGGGAGAAAACTTATTGATTTAGGGAAATTTTTTGAAAAATTGAAACATTTTTTTGTAAATATACCGCAACAAGAAATTCTATTCGTGGAATTTGTGGGGGAAGTTTTTGAAAAAACTTTTTCTGTCGAGGAAAATTTTCCAATCTCACGGGTAAATTCTTCACCTCTGCCAGCAACCACTACACGTGGTAATATGATGTCAGTTTGATTATCGGATTTAGTCAGTTTAGCTGCGTCAAAAGTTCATTTCCTTTAATCCATATATAATTTAACAAAAAACGTCAAAATATATTTTTACTTGAAAACCAAAGAAAATATATACTTAAAATACATTCGTTTTTCGTTATTTTCCCAGGAACTTAACATTTTACTCTATTGTAACAAGACCGCAGCCGCTTTTGATTGAAAGGCTTGTAATGTTCCATCAGCTATTTTAGAACCAAAAGATCTCGATAATGGATTATCAACATTTTTCTCATTTCCATTTTATAAAAATCTTTTGACTGATATTATCCTGAGTAGCTCATATACCTACTTTATGTGGTATTATGAAAAACCAGCATCCAGGAATGTTAACATCGTCATACGAGCCATTACTTCGATGAGTTGAACAAATGGGCTTGGATCCATCAACTCGCTGAAAACAAACAAATTTATTTCTTTGTTTTAATTTATTTATAGCAACTCTTACTTTAGTGACAAGAGTTTCTTTTTGTGTGTTTAATTTTCATATTAATGAATGATCGGCATGATCATTTTCTAAATTTTCGATTTCTTCTGTTAAATTACTTATCTGATTAGCGATCAGTTTTGATTCTTGATTTACTTCTTTATTTTATGTGATCACGGGCTCTGTTACTTTACAAACCTTTTGCAATGCTCTAGAAATTAAATCAAAATTTTGTGATTTTTGTGAAATTTTGTGTTTTGATTTCTTCTGTAGAGAAAGTAAATTATTTTTATTTGTATAATAATTTACAAGTTGAACTTTCTTCCTTTTCCTCAATAAATTTTTCTTTTTCGATGTTTGCTTCTTGATTAGACTCTTTTTTGCCGGGAACTAAATAACTCCAGCCATATTTACTATTATAGTGAATGGGATATCCTTGCCAAGTTAACTTCAAAAATTTAAGAACAATACGTAATTTTGTTGAAATTGATTGTGGATCTGGTTGTCATACATTTTCATCAAATTCTTCATCTTTCTTCAAAAACTTTTATAAGCTTAAAGCCTTTTTCATGAACTTTGTCATGAGCGACATACAACGTTTGTTTGTTCATTTATTCACTTCTCCTCCATAGTTATTTAAAGTGAAGAAAGCAGGTTGAGTTTGTTTATTTACCGAAGATCTGTTAGAAATTTGCCTTAATTGACTTCGTATATTTGTTTTGTAGGAGGTAAAAGGGCAGAAAGAGCAGCAGAACAGAAATCTCAGTCTTTGTGCGAAACTTGTTTTACCTTCGCCATAGTCTCAGTGTTTCTAATGATAAGTGCACTAAGCGGAAATAAAGTGTACGTGCATTCTGAATTTTTGAAATGCACTTTGCTTTTGAGAGTTTTTGCTGGAGTGCCTTTTGTAAAAAGAAATTTTACGCTTGCTATGTACTTTCTTAGAAAAAACGCAGCAACTCATACCTACAGCGCTATTCGATGCGTTCGTTTCTAACGCGTTTAAACGCAACACATGTTGACTCTTCCGAACGCATCAATTTATTGTAAAATCATCCTGCTAAATGCGTTAAATATAAACGCATTTAAACGCGTCAAAACTTGCCGCCTTTCTAAGCGTTACTGTTTCATAAACGCGTCCAGTGGCTGCTAAAACGCGTCAAAGAACGTCAGATGTGTCAACTAACTCGTTTATAGGTGCGTTAAGTTACAAAAAATGTTTGCCTGGGTTTTGCACATAAGTCACGATACTACCTAGAGAAAATAAACGTTAACAAGTAGTTTTATTCAAACAGGGATTCAACAATTAAAATCTTTTTATCTTCAAATCTTCATCTTACGCTGGATAGCCTGGCATATGTGGTTGAATCTTTAGAAGTGTTAAATGCGTGTCAAGAATACGTTGAACATTAGTGGAAACAGGTATCTCAGATTCATCATGTAATCGTTGTCTAATAAAATTTATAATAATTTTTACGCGGCACTCGTAGTAAAAACAACAACAGAAGACCTACCGGTCAGTAATTTGCAGCTCCTCCGAAGATTGATTGTTCATGACAGTGTGATGATGATATTTCTGTATCAGAATTAGATGACGATTTTGTCTTTTTTTGCTTTTGACTTTAAAAATCGAATGTTTTGCGTACCCCAGTCTAAATCCCATAACCATGGATCCGAACGATATCTTAAATTACGAAAAATCTTAAATAATATCTAGGGGTTCATCAGCTCACGTTCACGAACTCCGTTCAAATGAGTGAAATAACTGTGCAAAAGTTCTTTTCGAGCGAACTGAACTTTTCGAACAGTTCGTTTTGAACGAGCTGAACTGATCGAACAGTTCTTTTGAGCGAACAGAACGTCGACTTTGGAAGATCTGTAATTTGGCCTAATATATCAAGATCTATCTATAGGACGTAGTTAAAACTTCTCAAGGTCTATTCATAGGGACAACCAGGACCTGTCAATGCCTATTCATACAGTATATGTAGGAGTCCTTTAACCTTATCCAGTGGATAAGGTTAAAGGACTTTTTGAGGATGATCACAGAACTATGAAGATGCCGAAAACATTATCTAACCTATTTAAGTCTTTTATTTATTTGTGAATTCACAAATAAATGAAATTTAATATTATGAAAGTTATTGTGAATATATGAAATGTTTGTTGGTGTTGTTGCAAAACTCTTAAGCCAAATCACAATGTCATCAAATAAGAGCTTCTCTTTCTATCCGAAACGACATCATTTTTAATGATTTTTTTAAAAGCAACTAAGAAGTTTCTTTAAAAAATATTTGCATTAGTACGATATTCGATTGTTAAAACTATATTTTGTAAGCAATAAAAAAGTCGACAAAAGATAAAAACAAAAAACCTGTCAGTACAAATAATAATACAATAACATAAAGTACGATGACTTATCGAAAACAAGATTAAGAGTTCTTTTTAAAAACAACAAATCTTCCGAGGGAATATATTCAAATGATAAAGCGCTTTGGATTCGGGGCAACCTTCATCATGTAGATCCCAATGAGCTATGAATATGCTGAAAATATTTCGTGCCACTAGCTTATTGTTGCTGAGATAGTTACGTTATACGGTATTCTTAAGCATCAGTCTCGTGGTTCTCCTCAACAATATCAGGAAAAGTAAGTGTCGAATTATGGCTTGAAACTTAGCAGCTGAAAGACGACGTTCAGTTCGCTCAGAAGAACTGTTCGACCAGTTCAGTTCGCTGAATATAGCGTTTTGAACAGTTCATCAGTTCTGAACGAAACCTGAACTTGAGAAGGTCTAATAATATCTAAAGAACGTTAATATATAAAAATGAAGTATACGAGTCGTTCATTGCATATTTACATGTTTCATTTGCTATTTGCATTAGAATATGTTGCATATCAGATTCAATATTTTCAAATGTTACATCAACTTCACGTATAAAACGATTCCAGTTTTGATTTATAGGTAAAAACACTGTACTCATTTCGAGCATTCCACTCAATGTGACGGAATGGTCAAATCTAAAAGAAGAAAAATTATGTGAAAAATAAAGAGAATAAACAAACATTTATTTATAAAATATACCTTTCGATAAACATTGGATATAAAATTTTGATCACCTCACATGTTGCCTTTACATCATTACCACAACAGGTCATCAGCTTCTGAAAATAAAATATCAAACGCCGTAATTGTTTTTTATTCCTAAACTACATACCTGAAAATTCTCTCACATCATCGATTGTTCCTTCGATAAATATTTTTTGCATATTTAATAATTGGTTATTTCTATTCCAATATCACCATCATGATCATTCTCGATAAGCGATGATAATTTTTTGAATGCTTGATATTATAAACGTTGGGTATAAGTGAAACCAGAACACATGATATGAAGAATTGTGTCAAGAAAACGCGTAGCTGATCCCTACAACAATTTATACAAGAAATATGTCTGATATAAGAAGCAATATGGTTACCATTAATTGATATTATTCTTTGATGAACGTACCATCAAATGCTACATGATGACCAATGACCAATTTTGCATGCTCAATATTATTTTTTTATTCTAATGGTACTAAATCGTCCAATTCAGCGTCAACTTTAGGGGGCCCCAAACATACCCTCAAACTTTGCCAGTTTGTAGAAGACACCTTCAAGGGTATACGTGTGCAATAATTCACGGATTGGATAAGTTTTGGTGAGGAGGTGTAATTTTTTAAAATAGAAAAAATCGATTTTTCCAGCTATTTTGCACCTAGTGCAAAAAGTATTTCTTGCGCAGTCGCCCGCGTCAACGAAGCATTTTGGACAGTTTATGTCACTGCAAAAGTTGTTCATCGCATTCATCTCTGCCGGATGACATATTTCCTTTTTAGTGCAGACTGCGCACATACAAAGTTTTCAGTCAAAAACTAGGTCAGAGTCAAAATTCTGTTCGAAAGTCGCGATTTTCGAATCGCGAAAAGGAAATATGTCATCCGGTAGAGATGAATGCGATGAACAACTTTTGCAGTGACATAAACTTTCCAAAATGCTTCGTTGACGCGGGCCACTGCGCAAGAAATACTTTTTGCACTAGGTGCAAAATAGCTGGAAAAATCGATTTTTTCTATTTTAAAAAATTACACCTCTTCGCCATAACTTATCCAACCCGTGAATTATTGCACACGTATACTCTTGAAGGTGTCCTCTACAAACTGACAAAGTTTGATGGTATGCTTGGAGGGGGAGCAGAGTGCCCAAATCTCCTGATTTTTAGGCTTTTCTCCTGATTTCAGGAGCTCATTTTTAAGATTTTCTCCTGATTTTTACTTGTTTTCCTACATCGATTTTGTTTTTTTCAAAACAGATTATCCGTTTCAGAAACAAAATTTCTGGATCAAGAGTCTACATAATTGTACATTGAAAGAGTCCGCTGTGTGCTTATCGAATGTTTTCATCAGAAGAAGATGAGATTAGTGAACTTCCAAATTCATAAACTTCTCCCTCAATCCGTACTGCAGTCTGTAACAAATGATAATACTGTTCCATTAAAAAATATTTTAGAAAACACTATGTTTTTGAAAAAGTGATTGGAGTTTTTTGTTTTGCTTGTCGAAGAAAATTGTGTAATACTCCTGTTTTTCTTCTGATTTCGAAAAAAATCTCCTGATTTTCCTCCTGATTTTTTAGAAAAAATCTCCTAACCAACTCCTGATTTTTAACGAAAAGCTCCTGATTTTGAAAAATTGGATTTGGGCACCCTTGGGGGGAGCCCTCTTTAAGCCGAAATGCCGATTTTCGTCCAAAATATCGATTTTGAGAAAAGCATATGGTTGGATAGCCCAAAGTGTCTACTTTCTAATGGTAGGTTTTGTCGACAGGAAAGGTTTTGACGAGTTTTCCAGAAGCCCTATAGCAAAAAAATGACTTTTTGTCACTTGTATTGCATAAGCGCACGCATAGGCCGCGCACATGTTCATTAGATCCACCATGACAGATAACCTGTAGCAAAATATCAACAAATTATTTAACGCTAAAACAGTTTTTAAGTAAAACACATTTAAGGGGGAGGTCCCCCATTTAGATTTTTCTCTAGCATTCCCAGTTTGTAGAGGACACTTCGAAGTATATGTCCTGAAGTTTTTTCGGCTTACTGACGTTATTTGGCTGAGAAAAAAATTAATTACTTAAAAAAATATTGTTAAATTTTTGAGCACGAGGTTATTATTAAAAAAATTCCTGTCCATCCTCCATTCATCACAAAAGCTTGGTTCTTGCCTAGATC